TAGTTGCTTGGTAACTAAATTAGTTGCTTGGTAACTAAATTAGTTGCTTGGTAACTAAATTAGTTGCTTGGTAACTAAATTAGTTGCTTGGTAACATAATTAGTTGCTTGGTAACCAAATTACTTGCGTAGGTTACTTAGCAACTACAGACCCGCCGTTGAAAATGGATTCCCGGGTTCAAGTATGATTCAAGGATCTTATATTTGGAAAGAATAAGACCTTAGTGACGTCAATGAGGTTACCCTGGCAACTAGCTGATATAACGTCACGAAAAATTTTAATGATCTAAATTCACGCTACACGCTCGTACATGAACACTGTCTTTATAAATCAAATATTAGTGTGAAAAAAATGTATACATTATTGGTAAATATAAAAAAAATTTAGGATGTATAATTTACGATTAACAAGCGATTATTCAGTTAGCAAATATCTTAGCAAAGCTTCTTATTGCTATCTTTTTAAATCACTTCACTTTTTATAAGATTTACGAAAATATTTAATGTTTACAAATCGTGTTATTATTTTTCTATTACTTCTTTGCTGTATTTGGTTTGGCCTTTTTTGGCGATAGACCTCAACCAAAAATACTCGTGCACATCGCGCGATTAAGAATATTTACGATTCCTTTTTTGTACAGGAAAAAGTTTGAAAAAATCTTATCAATCTTTAGTAGAAAATAATAGAAGGAACACAACCTGTTTCCTCTCAGATAACTATTTGTCTATGTGTAATAATCAATATGTATATATTATAAAATCCTATGCTTGGTATAAAGTTTAAACTTCTCGAGTTATTTAGTATTTGGTATCAGGGCCCTTCTACTTGCAGCCCATACTGTCAATCACAGCACTACGCGGCGCTGGTCACCATATTTCTGTCAATAGCCCAGCGCAACCGTGACGTCTTAAAAAACGAAGACAAAGGCGGAATTCGGACAAACAAGTTACAAGTTTACTTTCAGCAAATAATTTTCACAGCCGATCGCAGTTGATCTTAGTTTACATGGGTTATTATTGTAACTTTAAGTAAAAATGATAAAATCGGTTCGTATAATCCTCGTAGCGGTTAAACAGAATGCAATGCCTGTCCGAATCTTTAAGCTATTTTTAGAATCAGTGCGCTGCGAGTTCAACACTGCGGTCCCAAGGGAGCACAGATAAGTATGTTGATTGGTCTTCCTGTGCAAACAAATAGTAAGGTTTTCGCAAAAAAAATAGCGTGAGCTCAAGTAAATATTAAAGATGGTGGAGTACAAAATTGCTCCTTTGTCACAACACTGCGGCAGTGGCTGACCCAGGGGTGTTTCCATGGAAACCCTCTTTTGGGAGATCTCGTTAAGCCTATCATGTTTTTAAGCTCAGTACAACGAATTTGAATCCCTCTTTTTTCTTACCAGCTTTTTCTGCATGGCGGCCATTTTGTAACCCCTCTCTCCGTTACTGTGCGGTGGTACTTGCCGCCCATATTACTATCATTGACAACACTGCGCTCGCACATGCCGCCCATATTACCGTAAAGTTTTCAATCAAAATCTGCCGTAACAATGCATATGGTTTGTGGTTGATTGAACTCTGTCGGACTTCAACTAAAAACCGCAGACAGGTGAGACAGCCAAGAAAAGCTAGTCTAGAGGCCAAGGTTAAGATTCCTAATGCATTCTAATATGGTGTAGTTGGTTCTAGACATTCACACTTCTGCTTCGCAATATGTGCTCACTGCTGAAAAACGAAAAAAAAAACCTGCTAAAAATCGCGAAGTTTTTGACAGATTTTCGAAGCGCTCTTACTCTTTAAAGACAGGGAACAAAGTATTTTTATCTAGTTTACATCAGTATTTGCATTCAATCTTTCTCTCTCATCTCTCGTGTAAAGTTTTTTTAAGTTCGATAGCTTTTTTTTCCTCATGGCAATGAGCGACAACACTAAATGACGCAAGGCTTTGTTTGAATCCGCGCTCAATTAGCTGGTAAAACAACCGAATTAGAAAACCTTTTGTCAAAGCTTCTTCTCTATTAAATTAGAACCACAAAAGGATTATCAAAATTACGATGCTTTACGCCAAATTTTCTCCTGTTTTGTGTTTTGTATCCCTTGTTTATTGTTCGAGTTTACAAAGTTTGCCGCCATTTTCAACTTCAGTTGAAGGAGGAGCTACAAATAGACATAAAAATATCAGCCAATCACAACACATTCTTTTAATTGACAACTTGACAGATCTTAAGTATGTTTACTAATTGGGATTAAAAAATTTTTACCGAAATAATTGATATTCTAAATGAAGAACTGATTTATAATTATCTTATGTAGACAATCCTAATACTATGCAACTTAGACTTATAACAAATCAAAATAATATTGATAGTCCTTAAAAGTATGAATTTAACTCGACGTCCAGAATAAGATCGAGCTTGACAGTTTATTTACACTCGCCAATACCAGCCCTTTAGCTATTGTTTTAGGTGATTGTCTTTGTTTGTGACAGATTGATATTACTTTACATCCATTGGACAATTTCACGGGGTCTTGTTATGTCAAAGTGTCGCTCGAGATTTTGTTTTGATAATACTTTCATCTGCAATCAGAGATACAACAACCTATGGATTCAAGAACGTCCGAGAAACTAATACCCCAAGTCTTACTGTCCAATTATGCTCTTGACTTGAACCTTTCCAAAACACACAAAATTGGACAGTTGACCGGTTTTTGCATATTTTAAAAGATCCATATTCTATAATTAATGCATATAGAAAACTCGTAATAAACTATTACGACGCTCGCCACAAGCATTACGAGAGGCAGACACTGGAGCGTTATTGGTTCTGTGTTTTGATCGATATTTATCATAATTTTGGAACTAAAGTTTAGGTTTCGCAATCGCCAAGGACAGCGGTTTACGGAACATTGAGCTTCGATCAACACAGCCGGTCTATTCAAAACATATCGGGGTTTAATCGTTGGCGAGACACGGCTGTTTCGTTGTGGACATTAGGTTTCAGGCCACTACTCGGCCAATCCATGTTGCTATGCACGTCTTTCGCTAGCAACCAAAATGGAGCCGAATTTAAAATTGTTCGCCATGAGAAAAAAACCTTTATTTTTTCACTAAACACAAACTATTTTTGAAAGCAAATATATTTCAGAGGTACCTGCAAGCCTTCTTTCTCGATTTTGTATTTTGAAATTTTGTTTTAACGAAAAAATATCATTTTCAAATCTTTGTAACTACGAAGTACGATCGTAGTCGTCCTTTTAAAGACAGTAAATTAAGTGATTTTTGAAGTCTAATGGGAGCTTAATGGAAGT